ATGCACTTGCATACGAAAGGAAAGTCTCTCCAACAATGCCATCTTTGGAGATGCATCTAACCCCAGTTACCCTTCGTACCTAAATGGTACGAGTGGGAAAGCGTCGTGTGGTCTTTTGGATACATGCTGCAGTGTGATTCAACGCAAGCATCAGACTTTCCTTCAATGTACCATGGGAAGACTCAACATTTTCCAGAGAGTACAACTTAAAACTGCATTCATACCGTGTAAGTTTCCATACTTACAGCATATCGTGAATAAGAAGTGTTTTCCAATCATATCTAATCCGATTCTGCGGATGAAGCCTACTTGCATTTGCCTTTACAATCGACTGCACTACTGCTACTCATATTTAGTAGATTTCAATACTGCCAGTAGAGTCTGGAGAAGCGTGATGGCCTTGTGATGCCAGTAAATGTCAATGTGGCCTGTGTAGGATGAGGGATGTGCGGAATCTCTGCTAGATGTGACGGCCGCGTAGGAGTCCAAAGTGCAAGCGTCAAGTGCAAACAAACCGGGGCCAGATACGAAACGATTCGCCAACACTCAGGCCCACCAGTCAACCCTTAGGACAGCATTAAAGATACGCATCATAACTACTCAAGAAGGCTGACTCACGTGTTTGAATAATTTTTCTGCAGCTCTGAGAGTTGTTGGCCTGAGGACACTCCACTATGAAGCTATGAGCATCCCAGTCGTCGCATTTGGCGCCGTGCTCTTCCGACTTGCAGACGACGCACTTCAAAGCCGAGGCTAAACAGATCAAGATATGATACCGGAATCAGAACAAACCTATATGCAGATTTGCCACTAAGGAGAAGCCCAACAAAATCCGCATCACAGATTGCCGCGACAACATCATTTTGAAAAGAAGATTTAATTCCAGGAGGTGAAGAGGGGGAGAGAAATGGACCCGAAAGACGGGCCTCGATGTCTGCCGGCTCTCCTGGCTGGCCAATATATAAGTCTTCAAAGCCAACTGGCTAGTAGCATTGTCGAGGCAACATCGTCCCATTTTCCTCTTTTGATTGGTCCTTTATCCTAACGATCACCGTGGCAACCGCCATCACAGAGGCCAATCCGATTGCTAGTCGATTTTGCTCGCCCAAAGTTGTAGGCAGCAGCTGAGACGACTGGGCTATTTGGTGCTACCTCTGTGCTCCCTAGCCCAAGGGCTTAGGTGACAGATTGACCTTCGGCAAGCCCGGTCAGTCGGGTCGACCAGATGAATGACGAACCAGTTCGGCCTATGCCAGAGTCAAGGTTTGGGCTGAAAGCTTTGCAGCCATGGCATTTTTTCTGCTGGCATAGCAGCCTTGCTGTCGAAGACATTGGTGTCCTTATCGGTGGCACTAGCTAACTTTTCGCCCTAGGGTTGGACGATTAAAAAAGCTCTCGAACACACTCTGGAGTAGCATCGAGAGTTCATGCGAGGAATAAACTTGAGTATAGCCGCCATCCTTATACCTATTAACTTATCCACGAGTGGCAACTATCCTGCCTTTGATGGTGAGTTTTATTAACAGACACAAGGACTTGCGATCGGATCTTGCTTAGCTCCAATCTTGGCGAACAACTATATGGCCAACTTTGTGTAATACTTTTTGTAAGAGACAATACTAACACCCGATTTGTTTGGTTAGATGTATGGATGACTGTTTTGTCATCTGGTCTTATGGTAATTAAAGTTAAGATGGTTTTTTATTTTCACTTAATCAACGTGAAAGGAACATTAGATTCACAAAGGAAATGGAAGAGAATAGGTCTTTTCTCTTTTTTGATGTTCTCATCATCGCCTTAGTTACAAAACTAACTTTGGAATTTTGAAGTATATGATTATTGGGAGTATGAGACTGGTGGACAACAACCATATGACTAAAGAGATTCAGTCCTGGAAACTAATTATCCTCCGGACCTGAGAAATGTATGTTCAGACAGAGAATATTTAGTCAAAGATAGACAAAAGGAGATCTTTTCTAATGTTCTAATTTTGCCGTCATGCCTCCTTTCTTGAAGGTTAGGCGAACTAGTGAGAAAGTAGGGGTTAAAAACGGTGATCAAAGAAACCCGCACATTTTCTTTGTTTGTGCCATCTTTCAGAGGAAAATATGACCAATTATCGATATCCAGCTGCTTCTTTGGTCGACCTTATGTTAGTGGGACATGCCGACCTATTCGGCAAAGATTATGGGTGTAATGAGATGTAGTAGTCTCGAAACCCTACTTTAATACGAATAAAAGATTATGGGAACACAAAATGCTTGTAAATAGAGCTGGGTCTAACAGTCAGAAGTGGCCAAACACTTGCCCAAGACTGAACATGAAATTGAATGGTCTCAAACAAGTAGGCTTGCTGATTATGGTACGTCTGCTGTTGAAAGGAAGATAAGCGAAGCTATTGAAATTAATAGATCAGGAAATACGTTGAATGCGAGAAACGATGGAAGAACTACTCATGCTTGAGTGAAAGATTGAAATAGAGAGCAGGTGTCGGGCCGCCATCCAAAAGAAGGTGACTCAACTTGTTTGCTCAGTGATGGTTCTAACTTCATTCATACTCGTCCAATATGTTAAAGTAAGCTCATCAACCAAACCAGATTTACGAGATTACGCAACCCCAGTCAGACCTTTCCTTGAGTTATTAAACCTTAAAGACCCTAAACTGAGAAGGTGGGACACGTGGTTTAGTAACCTGACTTACACGCTTACAAACTTCCATTTCAGTATCTCAACCATGGTTGTTAGGGTCTTATGTAATTATACCATTAAATCTTGAAGACCTGAGCCTGATTTGGAACCGGTATTGCGCATAGGTGTTAATACACACATACACGCATACACGAGAAAAAGCAGCAATACCAATATGAAAGATAACTAGCCAAACCATTTTATCTATTGTAAATACGAAGAGAAACTAGGTTTTGATTAATCTCCTGTAATAACATTGTTGGGGGGGCTTCCATTTCGTATGAAAGTGTATGAAGGAGAGATTCGTAGGTCGATCTCACCAGAAGAGGACGGATGAATCGCGTTGTACTGCAGCCGTTTGGCTTTTATACGACGTTCAGGTTGGCGCAATACATGAGACCTCCTCCGTTGTATCGCCCATTTCCACCTGAAACGAGGGAGGAGGTCTCGTGTACTGCGTCGACATCAACGTCGTATTAAAGCCAAACGGCTGCAGTACAACGCGATTCATCCGTCCTCTTCTGGTGAGATCGGCCTACGAATCTCTCCTTCATACACTTTCATACCAAACGAAAGTCCCCCCAACATTCTATTATTAATTTTCGTTTTTTATTTATCAGTATATATGAGAGGCAAAATAGAACCAGACAGTCTTCTTTTATCTTGTTTTAATATGAGACTTGTACAAGAATGAGTTCCAGCTCAGATGATATCCATCAAATAATATGATGGACGAAAGCTCAGCCTGTTTTCACCTGAAACGGAGGAGGATGTCTCGTGGACAGCGTCAACCTGAACGTGGTATTACAGCCAAACGGCTACAGTACGATGCGAGTCATCCGTCGTCTTCTGGTGAAATCAACCTACGAACCTCTTCATCATTCACTTTCATACAAAATAAAAGTATCCCAAACAATCTTAGGATATTCATCGAAGACCAGTTACTCTTCCTATCCTTAGTATTGACATTAGCTAACTTTTTGCCCTTGGGCTGAATGATTAAAAGAGGTCATTGGATTTTCCACATATTTGCTTCCAAATCATCATTCGTTTTTGCGTAAGAACTTGAGACACTATGAGGCG